GAATAAGTATGCCTTTGTAATTTGACCAAGAAGAAAAACATTGTTTTTAAAAAGTGAAATACTAATAGATATATGGTCAGTCATACAATTCATAACAGTAAAACAATAATAAAATGAAAGCAGTCTAAGTGCCCATGACTTATAAAGTCTAATGCTTACCCAAGTAGGTTAATTTATAGTTAGTAAAATTTTGTGTTTTCCATCAAATTTTGTTTGTTAAAAAATTTTAACTTTAAAATCCTGCCACATGGCCGGTGAGATAGCTCAGTGGACTAAAGCGCCTGCTTAGGCAAGTGCAGGAGTGTGGTTCCATCCCTGGTGCCACATGCCTCACCAGCCCTGCCCCCAGGGCAGGCTGAACTGGCCAGAATCTGGGTGTAGTGGCGCATGCCTGTAATCCCAGCACTGGGGAGGCTGAAAGCAGGAGGATCACCATGAGTCTGAGCTGTGTAGTGAGATGCTGAAACAATCAAATACATTTTTTAAAAAAATCCTGCCATAAAACTATATATTCAGGGGCCAGAGAGACAGCTCAGTGGCATAAGCACCTGCCTGGTAAGCACAAAGTCCTGTGTTCAATCCCTGGTACTAAAAAACCCAAAAAACAAAAACCCTATTTACACAGTGTGATAACAACGTTAAATGCATATACACAAATATTTAATATATGGACAAAAAAGTCTAAAAGGGAGGTCTACTGAGGGGCTGAGGGTACTTCAAGCTCTTACCCTTGTCTATGTTTTCTAAGTATTTAATAAGGTACCCATATCATTTTTTAGTCAGAGTAAGCCCACTAAATGGCCTATTGGGGCAAGGGGTCAAGGATCGAGGGTGGTCACTTTTCCCAATCCCACACCAGGTCTATTTGATTCTCAGCCGGAGAACCAAAGACAAGATTCTCTCTCTCTCTCTCTCTCTCTCTCTCTCTCTCTCTCTCTCTCTCTCTCTCTCTCTCTGTATGGGGGTCCTGGGGATTGAACCTAGGGCCTTTGCACTGAGCCATGTCCTTAGCCCTTTAATTTAATTTGATTATTTTACTTTGAGACAGGATCTCACTAAGTCACTAAGTTGCCCATCCGGGCACTGGATCTGCAGCCCTCCTGCCTCAGCCTTCCAGGGTGCTGAAATTACAGGCCTGCACCACCTATTTCCATACCCAAAGTCCCAGCACGTGCCACCAATCGTGGCATATGAGTTGCACGTCATTTATTCAGAGTCCTACCTATCTGGCATTTTCACTTTCGGGCCACAGTGCTTGCTCCCTGATCTCTTTTCAGGTTGGCACAAGATCCTGCTCACATCAGGGTTGACAGGCAGGCTGAAAACCAAAGACAGCACCTGCCTTAGCTGCGGCCCTGTCCTGTGCCCCGAGAGTCCTTGCTCTCCTGCACAGCCCTGGGATGGGCACCAAATGCCCAGCCTCCCCTGACAGGAAACTGAGGAAAGGAAGGCCCTGTGGCAGGAGCATCCCAGCTTCTGGCTTTCCTGTGTTCACCCAAAAATGAGGCACGGCCTCATTTGAGTAGAACCTGCAGGGCGCTTGAGGCTTGCAGCAAACCCCTGTGAGCCTAAGGGAAGATACGGCACTCAGAGCCCGGCTTTACCTCCTGAATCAGAATTTCAGTGAGGGGGACCTGGGTTGAGGTTTTTTTCGTTTGGTTTGGTTTGGTTTGGTTTCGTTGTTTGTTTTTACCTCTTTTGATTTCAAAAAGCAAGAGGGGTGCGCATTACTGCTTTCTAGCAGCAATTCTCAAAAACCAAAGAATTCACTTTACCCAGGGCCCAGGCTTTAAGCTCAGCAACGTGGCCGATCACGGGTGCCCTCATCACTCACGCAGTAACTTTAAGGCCTCACAGCCCACCAGGACCCATTCTCCAGCACCCTCCCTGCTCTGAGCACCAGGTGGAGAAGCTGCCACATGGAGTACCAAATAGCTTTGGCTGCTGTTTGCCAAATGGTTCCACTGGCATTCGTGCAAATTAAAGACCATATTACACTGTTCTTCCACTTTGAAAGAAGCTTAGGCACCAGCCTCTCAGAACCCTGGAATCTGAACATTGTGGGCAGAATCTGGAATTTCTAAACTCTTGAAACTAAACTCTGGGGGCTGGGACCAGAGTGTGGCTCTCAGGGCTCACTGAGGGAAGGCTGGGGTCCTCGCGTGCTGCCCATCAACCTTGTCTCCTCTCCCTTCCCCTCACCTGTCTACACCAGGCCCCCAGTAGATGGGGTCTTACTACGTTGCCCAGGATGGTCTCCAATGTGTGCGCACAAATGATCCTCCTGCCTCAGCCTTCCAGTAATTGCAATGAAAGAGTGCATCTCTATGTCTGGCTTTCCTTGGTTTCCCTGCTATTCCCTGAGATGCCCTGAGAACAAGCCTACCTCAAAGCCTCTGTATTCACTTTTCTCTGTCTGAAATGCTCTTCCAGCCTGTGTCTACAAGCTCATATCCTCTGCTCAAATGTCACCTCTGCAGAGGGGACAGAGCCTACCGTAGGCCCCCGATCTCCACATCCTGCTTTATTTATTTCCTGTCACACACACAACAACATCTATTCACTTGCTTTTTGGTTTATTGCTGATCTCCCCCAGCAGAATGGAAGCCCCTGGGAGCTGAGATTTACTCAGTGTCCTCAGTACAGAGCCCCTGGGTGGGGAGGAAGGGAGGGAAGTGAAGAGGAGCCACAAGGCAGGCAGCAAGGAGCCTTGCTCTCACCTCTTGAGCTGGCCCAGCAGGATGAGGTTGGGGGCAGTGCCTGTGAGCGTGGCGGTGCCCCCAATGCTGGCCGAGTAGGGGATGGAGATGAGGAAGCCCTTCCAGATGTTCCTGTGGTACTCCTCCTCCTTCTTGGAGTCAGCGAGCAGGTCCAGCGGCACCTCCACCTCCTCAGGATGGCCTCTGCTTTCAATGACCCAAAGGGAAGCCATTTAGACCTCGGTCAGAATCGCTGGCCTCCCAGACATACGGGCCACACTTTGCTCAGATTTGTGGAATCAAGGGATCTCTCTAGAAGTAAAGTTGGCACAGGCACGGAAACCCTTCAGTTCCACTACTCTACCCAAGACTCTGCCACAGAGAAATGAGACAGGTGCGTTAGGGGTGAGCACAAGGGAAGACGCCGTGGCATGAAACGTTTTTTTTGTTTTTTGTTTTTTGTTTTTTTTGTTTTTTTTTTTGCGGAACCGGGGATTGAACTCAGATCCTTGCGTTTGCCAGGCAAGCGCTTATCCTACTGAGCCATCTCCCCGGCCCCATGAAACGTATTTTTTGAAATGAAAAACAACTCAGATATCTATCAAAAAGGGATCAGTTGCTAGGTGTGGGAGTGCACGCCTGCAATCCCAGCCAACTGGGAGGTTGAGGCAGGTGGATTATAAGTTTGAATCCAAACTGGGCAATTTGAGAACTTAATGAGACCCTGTCTCGCAAGGGGGTGGGGTGGCAGGGTGTAGCTTGCTGCAAAGGCCCTGGGTTCAGTCCCCCCTACCCGCCCCCCAAAAACAAGGTTAACTCTCTGGGTAGATTGCTAGTATAGCTACTTTAATGGATGAAATACATGGGTGCTTTGTAAGATAGGAGATGTAAATGAGAGTATCGGTATTAGTTAGAACATTATTTTTAAAATATTGTTATTTTGTTGTTTTCTTTAGTGGTAAAATTATGGACATTTTCCTCTTGTAATTCTTTATTTGGATTTTGGAGGTTGTATTCCTCATACAGTTAGTTTTGAGGAAAAAATGAAGTTAAGAGTTATTAATTATATCATTATAAGAGATCGTGATGTTGACATGAATTTATTGAGGTGAAGAGAGCTTCACCACACTCTGTGAATAGGCATAGCAGGTTAGAAAAACAGTGGACGTGACATGGCCAGGTCTTTAAAAATTTTCAGAAATGCAATAATACATAGAGATATCAAGAAATCACCTAGCAGCTAGGGGCCTGCCCCGTAGCTCAGTTCTTTAAGTGGCTGCTTCAACAAAGCAGTCAGGCTCAGGTTGCTGTGGTTCGATCCCTACAACTCAAGCCAGCCAATCATGCCCTGAAGGCATTCGGAGCAAAAAAAAAAAAAAAAAACCACTTCTGAAAAGAAATCACCTAGTGGGCTGGGGAGATAACTCAGTAGAATAAGCACTTGCCTGGCAAGCGCAAGGTCCTAAGCTTAATCCCCGGTACTACAAAAAATACAGTAAAATAAAATCACCTAAAATAGTATCCACTTAATGGTTTCAGCCTTTTGCCAGGTATGAGATGCTGAACACATGTTTAAAGAGTATTTTTTGATGGGTGATATCATAAAATGTTTCCAAGCAGATAAAATTGAGCACTGCTGTAAATATGTGAAGCAATGGATGTATTAATTAGAATGACTGTAGTAATCATTTTATAACACATATGCATCTCAACACACCTCATCACATTGTATATGAACACACTACTTAGTCTGTTGTACTCAATAAATCTGGAAAAGAAATTAAGATTAAACTCAGGCATGGATTCTGCATAATAGAATTTTTTAATTATTTTTAAAGAATAAAGATAATTCAAATACCTGCTAGCCACATCAGGGATCTCTCCCCTGAGGTCAGCAGGGACCTGACCTGTGTTCTGAGCAGTCACTTTCCAGCCTGAGGGAAGGCGAAGACTGGGGCAGCCGGGAACCAAGGTCATGGTCTGGCTTCTTAGGGTTGAGAGCCCTCGTCAGGAACTGTGGCGGCCTCGCACCCAGGGTCCCCACCAGCCTGAGCCTCAGAAGGACAAGGAGAGGGTGGAGAGGGCCCTGGAGGTCATCTCATGCAATCTCTACTTTTGTTTAGACGGGAAAACTGAGGGCCAGAGAGGGAAAGAAGTTTGCATCTAATGAATGGAGACACCCCCCCCCAGGGGCAGGGTGTAGGTCTTTTTCAATTACCCCAGCAACATATCTGCATAGGCAAATATTTAAAATATATTCCTAAGTCAATCAGTGGTGAGTGGTTGGTCCAGTCACAAAACCCATGTTTCAAAGTTAGAGTTAAAGTCTCCAGACACGGTGCCAGGAAGGAGCAATGGCCATGGGGTGCACCAGACAGGAGATCCTATCCCTCCTCATTGGCTGCTGTCTCATTCAAAGCCCAGGCTACATCCACGGATGTGCTGTCCCTCCACCAACGGCTACTTGGGGAGCTCTCTGCACACTCAAAAATGTTGCAATTGCCGGTCCCTCTGCTGAGAATGCTTTTTCCCCACAGCCCCCCACTTCCTGCTGGGGTTTGCTCAGGCTCAATCCCCTTGGGATGCCTTCCCTGACCACCTATTTTAAAGCTGCTTCTCCCATCCTTCATCCTCCCACCCTAGCCCCCTTCCTGCTTTGTTCAGGTACTCACCAACCATGGGATGTAATATAGGTTCTGTACGTTCCTTTGTCTCTTCCCACTACAGCACACACAAGCTGCAGCAGTGGTGGGAGCTTTACTTGGCCCTTGCTGTATCCCTGTGCCTGGACCAGAGCCTGGTGCATCATAGCCCCTCACCCAACATGTACTGAGTGGAGGACACAGACCCAACTGATGCCCAGCACTGCCTTCAGCAAATCGCCTTTGGCAAATTGCTGCCTGCTGTGTGTCACTGCTAAGTGGGGGAACCAATGCATGAGTGGTCGAGGCCACCACCTGGCTACAAAAGGTCCAGGTGACCTGCTTGATCATGTCATCTCATCTGCCCTCAAAGCAGCCCTCAACATGGATCTAGGGCCCTGTTCAGCTTCAGTGAAGACTACCCGAAGCTCAGAGAGGTTAAGTGGCTTGTCTGGGCCACACAGGCAGTGGGGGCCAGAGTTCCAAGTCAGGTCCACATAACTCTAAGCCCCATGTCAAAAATGCAAAGGCAGTGGCATACTAGTGGACCTCGGTGGGAAGATGTCATTAAGTGTGGACTGTCATCGGATCGTGGGACGTTTATGTCTTTACCTGCAGTGGACACCCTCCTGCTCTTCCACAATCCCCCTTTGTGAGCTCCAAAGCCCCTCAGCTTCAGCATGGCCTTAGGGATTTGATATGTCCCCTACTCGTTCTGTAGGGGACTTGTTAAAGGAGGCCCTAGAGGCCTACGTGGAGGCCATGGGCGCAAATCGTGGACACCTGGGAACTGGGTCATTTGGAGAGAAACTCGGGGGCTGGGAGCAGCTGGCCACAGATCAGCTCTTCATTATCTCCACCACACCAGGCCCCCTCAGTCCCCTCCAGCAGGAACTTACCCCTCTGTGTGTGTGCTGGCCAGAAACTGAGTCTCTGTGGGTGCAGGGTGCAGCCCGTTGCCCCGAGTGGTGCCTGGGGAAAGAGTACCACGGCTTAGTGTAAGGTGGTGAAAGGGGCAGGGGAGCCCAGGGCGCTGCACAGCCAGCTTAGGCCACGTTCGCTGCCAAGGGTGCTGTACTGTCCACTGTACAGAACAAAGAAAAAGAGAGCAGGGTTGGGGCACAGGGGAGGAGACCAGGCATGTGACATGCATCCTCTTGTCTTACCATCCACCCACCCCTGGAGGTGGCTACCGGCCTGCGGGCAGGGAGCAGCCCCCCAGCAGCTGTTGCCAAGGGGATATTTTTGGGGAGATCAGCTGAGTGATAATGGGTATCAATGGATGGGGGGGTGATCTCCATTGTCCATTCATTTCTGCACCTAACCCAGTATCAATTAACATTAATCATGGGCTATGGGCGATGGCTTTGGGGTACCCAGTGAACAGTATAGAACAAGGCCCTTGCTCCCTGTATTCTAGAAAATGAAACATGCAATAAATGAATGAAGAAGATTTCAAGGAATGATGAATGTTATGAAGGAAATAAAACTGGGGAATGTGATGGAAAATGAAAGGCAGGGACAGCAGACGAACTACTGCCACCAGTCAGGTCACTCCAAGCTGACAGCGTCTCATCTGAGACCTAGGGATAGCAAGTTGCCAGTCACGTGGTCTGAAGACTCATGGGAAAGGCTCCAGGAAATAGGAATTGCAAGTGCAAAGGCCCTGCAGTAAGGAAAGATGGGGCCAAGTGGAGGAGCCAAGGCAGTTGGAGGAGTGAGGAAGTAGGGATTTAGGAGGGCTTGAGGTGGAGGAGGGGAAGAGTGAGGTCAGCAGAGGCCAGGTCAGGTATGAGGGGCCGTTGCAGGGCTGAGTGCCCAAGAGCAATGATATAACTTTCGCAAACCTCTCCAGGGCGGTAGAGAAGAAAGGGCGGCAGAGGGATGAAGAACGGAAGCCAGGTGCCTAGCACAGGCTCTCACCCATTTTCCAACTGTGATGATGGAGTTGGCCTAGGCTGGTGACCACAGAGATGCTAGGAGTGAATGATTTGTGGATGTGGCTCCACTCCTCTTTGGAGATAAGAGCTCAGGGCTACTTGGGGCCACACAGATTCTGGCAGATCAATCCATTAAACCACCTTTGTGAGGTGCGACTTGTGTGTCTGGGGCTGAGTGATGAGACAGAAATCCATGCTCCGTGGGGCTTGTGTCCCAGGAGTGGAGGCAACCACAGACAGAGATGAGGATGTGACACCCTGTGTCGGATGCTGGTGGGCATAAAAGCAGAGAAGGGGATAGCGCTCTAGGGTGGGGACCACTTTCAAGATTGCTGTCATGTAACAGAGACCTGAGGAGGTCAGGGAATGAGGCATACATCACCCGGGACAATGAAGAGCTGTGGCAAAGGCTCTGAGGCAGGAGCGCATCCAGTGTGCTCCTGTGGGGCAGGAGGGGCCGAGAGAGGGGAGTGAAGGAGGTGAGAGGGAGCAGCAGGAGTGTCAGGAGACAAGGCAAATCACACATTGGGGAGGTGGGACTCCAGGAAAGGACTTTGACTTCTCTGAGTCAGGTGGGAGGCAGAACAGGCTGGGACAAGATTTCACTTCATTTTTTGAAGTGTCCTTCTGCTGACAGACTCTGCACCAGCCTTTGACGATGTTTTTTAGATAAGAAAAATGGAATGAGTTAGAAGTTTCTAAGGCTGGAATCACGGTGAAGGATCAAAGATCGACTCTATCACTTACAAAGTGGCCTCACAGCAATGGTTCCCATCCAGAGCCAATTCCACCCCCAAGGGACATTGGACAATGTCAGGAGATGTTTTTGATCATCACAACAGGGGGGAAAGGGTGCCATCCTGGCATCTATCGGTGCAAGGCCAGGAATGGAGCATCCTCAAATCTCAGGTCAGCCTGCCTCTGAGAGAAATCCTCCCACCCAAAATGTCAAAGGTGCCGAAATTGAGAAACACTGGCTTAAGTGAAAATTTTTATCCTCTCTGTATTTCAAATCTTTAGTTTCTATAAGTGGAAGAACAATTCTAAGATTTTGCCAAGGGGATGAAAGTCAACACACTACAAGCAGGGGCCAGGGCCTGGCTGGAGCACAATGGTAGAGCATTTGCTTCACACAAGGAGCATGCACACATGCGCACGCGCAAGTGCGCACGCGCGCGCGCACACACACACACACACACACACACACCCTTACCTATATTAGTAGTAGTAATAAATAAAGCAGAGACCAGCAAAATCCTCCTGTGAAAGGCTAGGTAGCAAAATTTTCTGGCCTGGGGGGGCCCGATGGTCACTGTGGTCACTCCTCAGCTCTATCATTGCAGACAGATGATATGTAAAGTTTGGACACTGGGATTTGAATTTCATATAATCATCATATCACAAAATAATTTTCCTTCTTTTGACTTATTTCAACCCTTTAACAATGTAAAGGCTATTTATTCTTAGCTCACTCACTGCACAAAAGCGAACAGTGGGCTAGATTTGGTGGGCCATGGTGTGCCAAGCCCTGATCTACAGGCCTTGATGAAAGCTGAGTGTTGGCAAAGAGCCCATCAATGCTGTCACCTTCCAGAGAGAATCCCAGGCAGAAGTTGATGTCCCAGACAACTTCCATGCTCCCCGCCAGGTCACTCGGGTCCCCAATGGACCTCAGCAGTCTAAAGGGCACCAGCTGCAGACACAGGCAAATATCATGGCACAAGACAGGACCACTCCATCATCTCACCAAACTGCAAGACCACTGTGCCACCCACTAAAATGCTGAGCACCCCCTCTACTTCCTGACCAGGCATCAAACAACACTTGATTTCTGGCAGCACCAACCTGGAGCCACCCTGAGTCCCACCAATCCTCCTGCAAGTGATCTCCAAAGCCCCCAATGTTTTCAAAGATTCTTATTAATCCTCCATGCTGAGACACTCTAGGCTGTCTGGGGTATCAGCTATCATTCCCACTGCAAGGAAAAATAAATTCCACTCGAGCAGGCAAATTCCCTGCAGACCTTTGACTGAAAGGCATCTATACTCTGAAACAGCTCCTGCAGGGAACAAGATAGTTTGATCTTTTACATGGGAGTTTTCCTTGTACAAATCAACCCACACACTCAGCCACATGGCTTGGGAGGAAAGGTGTCAACCTGAGCCTTGGCTCTTTCCCTGCCTCAGTGACTTAAGGAAGTCCCTCCCCTGAGCTTGTTGCAATTTCCCTGTTGACATCAAGAGGGAACAGGATATCTCCGTGGCTGGTGGCATCATTTTTGCCACGTCTGATACCAACCCTGCTGACCACCAGGCCAGGTCTGAAGGCTGAAAGTCAGGTCTGTTTGTGCCGGGCCATGTGGCCAAGAACCCCAGGGTTCAGGTGACAGGAACACATGTCTACACACAGTGCACAAAACTGAAGCCAGGGCACTGAAGCAAACAGCAAAGCACTGTTAATAGCACACTGAGGGTTGCGGGGCAAAGTCGCTCCACAGGGGATGATTCAACAAGAAGAACCCTGGCCCAGTGACCCCTGGCCTCACCCACCTCTACCTCACTGCCCTTCCCACCTGGGAGTTCACCAGCACCTCAGGTAGAGCCCTCCTCCAAACTCCTTAGACCCACCTGCTCTTCACAACCTCCCGGGTTCCACCCAGAGGGTCTGTTGGTGGCTCTGGAATGGAGCATCAACCTGGGTATTTTTGCAGATCTCTGCAGGTGCAGCCAGGATTGAGCGTAACCCATCTGAAGCTACAGAGGGGGAAACTGAGGTTGCGTATTTCCCAATTTGCCTCATCTAAGGACCCCTCCACTGGCTGCCAGCAACTGAACTGGAGAAGCTACCACAAGACTGCAGGTAGTGGGGCAGCACCAGTGCAAACACTGTAGGTGGCAATCAGCTTAAGACAGGAGTTGTGGAGGGGGAGACTCACTGTTTCTCTACGTAGATCTGTACTGTGAGCCTGTTTTATCCCAGGCATTATTTTTCTAATGATGACAAAGGTAACAGAGATGAAGGGGGAAAATTAGGACAACCAAGGCAAGAACTCTTAACCATTTACCCAGGGGTCCACCTCTGGGATTCCTGTGACCACAGTGGCCTGAGAGACCACGCAGAAGCAGGCTGGTGGGGCAAAGTCTCCAGAGAGACTTCTCTGGGTCCAGAAACTGCAGGTCAGTCCCCAGCTTGGTGCTTATGTAAGAGCTTGCTCAAGTCACAAGGACTCTTGGGTTCATATCCGGTGGGAGCCTGGGCGCTTTCTTCTGTGCAAGCTCACATTGGAGCAGTCTTGCAGAGTCAGGCTAGGTCTACTATCTGCTTGGGGAAACTGAGGCAGGTCAAGGTTGGGATCAAGAGGACCTGGTGGGCTAGTGGCAGAGCCAGGCTATTCCCAAGTCTTTAGATCTCTTACCTCTGAGTCTCACTACATCTCCAAGGCTCCCACCTAGCACTTAGTAGGTCTGTCCTCACCCTGATCCATCTAGTGCAACCCTCCCAGTATAACAGAAACAGCCTCGAGCTGGGCACCCAGAAGGTAAAGGGCAGCACAGGGAACGTGAAACACCCCACATTAGATAGGTTAACATCTACTGAATGGTTTGCACACACAACGCATTAGGCAGGTTAACATCTGATTGGCTTGCACACACAATAACCTTATCTTACTTTACAGATGAGAAGAAAGTTGGGGAGGGCACAGCGAGTGCAGAGTGAAGGAGGACAATGCTTAATCTGAGCTGAAAGCCAGCTTTGTGAATCGCTGTCTCTCAGACATTCCTGTGCAGGCGTGGATGGCATATATCATGGCCTTCTTGGGGCAAAGGAAAGGAGGAAAAAAATTCCAAAGCCAGGTGGGCCCTTCACCGGCTGAGGGGCACTGGGCCAAACATCAACTGGAGCATCATTTCCTCCTTTGTCCCAGCAGGATGAGGACGCTGACCCCTGCAGGTGAGGGTGTCATGCACCAAGGGGCACCACCACTAAGGTCGCCATGCAGAGCACAGAACTGAGTAGGAGACCAGAGAGATG